TTTCACCTTCCTCTTAGTTGCATCAGGATCTAATAATTTAGTTGTTAAGCAAAACATAGGAACCAAGGTTCCTTGTGTTTCAGTATTTTGAAATAACAAAGAATAACATAATGCCTAAGGTCTTAAAGGTCAATGGTAGGAGATAAACACACCAAGAAAAAAGGTGTCAAGTGACATGCAAATGTATCCCCTCTCTTATTTCTATTCCCACCCCTTAATATACAATTTGAGTGCTTAGTGTTATGTTGGGGCAGAGCAAAAAATTACAAGTAGACTGTATAATGATGGAGGAAGGGGTATCTTGGTTATGTATGTCTTGGTCAAATATAGCAAACCCTTGAAATAAGTTTAAAGCTATACACAAAGCTAACTCCCTGATAGAGCTAAAATTTCCCAAGTTAGCACAACATACACTAGTCTATCTCCTTTCAAATTAAGTTGGTCGCCCCAAGGCAACTTCCAAAGTGTCCCTTTTATGGAATGATGCCTTAGGAACTGGCATTCATAGTGTTTTGAGTTAAAATGATGGTCTATGAATCACTAAGTAGCACCAATGCTATGCAATATTCATATACAGAAACTAGAACCCTTTCTAGCACTACCCTTTTCTTGAAAAAAATATTCTTCCCCAAATTACATAAATGGCAGATTTCCTTACTTCTTTCAAGCTTCCCCCCTCCCCTTCGCATCCAAATGCTGCCTGTTCAAATGAGGCTTCTCTAATAACCCTGTTTAATTCTATACACTGAGCTGACTCCCATCACAGCATCCCAGAAGCCTCAATCTTTCCCTGGCTCAATTATCATACTTTTTCTACAGCTCATACAAACATAGTTTATTTAATGTATTATATTTACTTGGTGTATCTTTACTAAAATTGAAGTCCCATGATGAAGATGTATCCCAAACACTTACAACAGTGTTTGACACATAGAAAGAGCTCATTGTGTATTTACAGAATGAATGAACATGTGTCCTACAGCAAAGACGGTAGAAGGATAAAAGCCAAACCACATTCTAAGAGAGTTTTAAGAAACACTATGAAAAGTCATAGAAATGTACATTTACCTGCTGGAGAGAAATTTGGTGAATGAAATTGCTTGATGCATATGAATTGGTCATGAATTCTGGGAGAGGAAAAATAGGCATTTTTGATACCTAATAGACTTTTGCTCCCATTTCTCTCATTCACAATGAATTTTAATCACCAATGTCAAAATAGAAACAAGTTTGTAGACAGCTTTTATTCTTTCCTGTGGTAGAGGCCACAGCTCAGATTGCAGACAAATAAGATTTGACAATGTTAATTGTGTTGCTGTTATGTATGCCTTGTCCTTTCTACCACCCAGTGGAATCTTTAATTAGCACAACATTCTCCCTAGAAACATTGATTGGTATTCAGGGAATTTTCAAAGATTCACTTTTCCTGCAAATTCACTATTTGAAAAGGTTTTTAAAAAATGTCAAACTCACCCTGGCCAGGTAGCTCAGTTGGTGAGTGTCATCCTGATACACCAGGGATATGGGTTCAATACCCGTTCAGGGACTGTACAAGAATCAACAAATGAATGCATAATTAACTGGAACAACAAATCCATATTTCTCTAAATAAATAAATAATTCTCTTCTAAAAATTTAAAATAAATAAAAAATGTCAAGTTCAGTAACATCATCAAGTAGCAGAGCTAGGGGGCCACGTTCATCACCAATATAATGTTTCAGTCTCTATTTTCAGATGTCGAGGTACAATGAAATGAAGATCAATAGAGAAATTCATATTGGGTACATATTGAATAATTGCCATCCCCATTTGGGGGGATAAATGATACATATGAATACATGTATATGTTTATATACATCCATATCTTGGTGTGTCTTCACTGTGAATATCATGAAATTGTCGTTTAATGGAAAAAACACTAACTTCAGAGCCACATGGTCCTCAACTTGAATCTGAACAATACCAATGTATATTCCTTTTACTCTCAAAGTTTGCCTTTGGATGATAAACTGTGTTATTCTAAAAGATCTTTACAGAATCTCTGACTTTGTAAGTCTCAATGAGTGCAGCAACTATTCAACAAATGTAGATGAAAGTCAACTTTCTTTGCAACCTCAGGAAGGCACCACCCTGACTTCCAAGAGAATTGTAATAGTTATCAACAAAGAAGGAAAAGTAGAGTAATGTCTATAAATCAAAATAATGTTTAATATATCTGGAAGACACATCAAAATAATGTTTAAAATATCTGGAAGACACATTTCTTCCATGAAAAGAATGAAGAAAAAAGTCATCAATATCAAGATCAACACTGAAACCAGATTCAATTCCTGGAAGTTCACCAGGGGGAAAAAAGATTTCCAAATTACCCACAATTAATTACCGCAGTATGCCTTATATGGAAAGAGAGATTCTCCTTCTGAAGGAAATCAGAATACCACAAAATAGCAATAATAAAGGTCACTGTTCTCACTGGGACTAACATTTTACATATCTGGTATGTAGCTTTTTAACCTTCAACACAGGCAGCATAATTAGACATATATATATATTGATTTCAGAGAGAGGAAGGGAAAGGGAGAGAGAAACATCACTGATGAGAGAGAATCATCAATCAGCTGCCTGCTGCACACCTGCTACTGGGTGGGAATCAAGCCCACAACCCAGGCATGCGCCATAACAGGAATTGAACCGTGACCTCCTGGTTCATGGATTGAAGCTCAATCAATGAGCAATACCAGCTGGGCTAAAGACTTAAATATCTTAGAGAAATTGTACAGTTTGTCCAAGGACACGCAGCTAATAAGTGATGGTGATGCCATTTTAATCCAGGTCTATCCAACTTCAAGGACAGAGATCCCACGTTTTATGCTGTTTCCAATACCATGCTTTGCCCCAAAATTAGTGATTTGAAAGATAGGACATGTACTCAACAAAAAGAGGGAAAATTCTGTGAGATAATATCTTAATCTGTAAAGAATCATGAAATGCACCTACTGTCTGCTTTTGAGGTAAAAATAATCAGAATCTAAGGGGTCATTATAAGGACAGAAAAAAAGGCCTCTCCTTTTCTTTGCTGTGGCCTTTCCACAATTTATGAGAAGCACCTGGTAATTAAGTCCCAAGATTGTTGGCTCCTCTGTGCAAACTGTAGAACAAATTAAGACTACTCTCAAGGTTGCATTCTTGCATCCCCCTCCACCCTGCTGTTTTAACAACTCCAGGATAATTTGCACCAAAGACTCTCCAGTTAATAGGAAGTTCCCTTCTCCCTCCCCTTCAGACAAGCCTCTTTTGAACTCTTCATAACATCTTCTCTAAGCACGTTTTACAGGCTTGAAAAGAAGTTGATAAAGAGACCACCCTAGGACATTTGCTGGACTATCTCCTGGAAAGCAAACTGAAACTTTTCAACACAACCCCACCTCCCAATCTGATTAACTTCAACACAATTACTCTCCCTTCCTTATCACCTAGCAACAGCAACTGGTTGCTCTTTAAAAGTACAAGCCTGCCCTGTATTGAGTAGCAATACACCAGCCCTTTCCTCCTTGAAAAGTAAAATAAATTTCCTCTCTGCATCTGTTCTCTCAGTTGTTAATTCTTTCATTGCCATGTCATTGCCCCAACCCTAACAGTCATCATAGTAAAAACATGAGCAATCAGCATGTAAAGAGTATGCTAAATCTACACTGATATCAAAGGGGAGGCATAGGAAGTGGGTAGCTAAGAATATGACAAGAGAAACTGGCCCCCCTCTTTACCCTCACCACCCAATACGCACATCATTTCAGGTTTAGGAAATAGCCAGGTCCATCAAAACACCTATTGAGTTTGTAACCCACTACCCTCCCCATATTGACATGTGATTTATTTCTACAAGAAGCTATTTGTTTTGCCTCATTTCATTTTTGCTGGGAAAATGATTCTCATATCTTAGAAACTATAGGAAAGGTCTATCTCAAATACCTGCAGATTTAGCAGATATACTTCAGGGAAGCTGTCTAATAGGAGTTACCATAAATCCATCCCAAACCCACTCTGAACAACCAGCCATGAATGATTTCTGTGATTGTCAGACTGGGCCCATCATGAGCCAACAACACAAAGAAAAATACACTGGAGGTCTTGCCCAAGGGCTATGTAGCCAGAAAAAAAATATCCAATATCAAGATGTTAAAATATAGCTACTAATAGGTGGCAACCTTATGTCCAACATCCTCTGGCTCCTGGGGGATGTAATAGAATACCACAGGATGGCAGTTAGGTCTGGAGGCAGAACTGAATTTAAAAAGGGGTACTCCCACTCATTAACTTTATAACCTCAAAGATTATTTAATTTCTCTGAGCAGTCATGTCCTCACTTGCAAAATGAAGATACTATGAATAGTTTCTTAGGTTGTTAAAAGTGTTAGGCATAACATGTCAGGTAATGATAACTAACAGTCATTGAGCATTTATTATGTGCCAGGTGATGAATGAAGTACTGCTAGTAGAGATATAAACTAGACACTAGAACAGTGATGGCGAACCTTTTGAGCTCAGCGTGTCAGCATTTTGAAAAACCCTAACTTAACTCTGGTGCCGTGTCACATATAGAAATTTTTTGATATTTGCAACCATAGTAAAACAAAAACATATTTTTGATATTTATTTTATATATTTAAATGCCATTTAACAAAGAAAAATCAACCAAAAAAATGAGTTCGCATGTCACCTCCGACACGCTTGTCATAGGTTCACCATCACTGCACTAGAATTTAGTCAGTTGCTGAAATTCACATAATTAGAAAGTCACAGAAAGAGGATTGGAACCTAGAAAATCGGTACCAAAGCCCATGCTCTTAACCTACTGTGCTACACTAGCATGGAACTCTGCGTTGAGTAAAAGACTCAACACATATGAGTCATGGATATTGTTGTTATTGTAACATCCCTAAATCACATAACATGAGGTTTTATTGAAACCTGAATACTCACACCACAGGACACACAGTACCTGGGACATGGCTGCAAACTTGCTCCTTCGACAATGCAGGCCTGTTTCTCCAGAAGTTCAGGGCACTCCCTTCCACCTCCGATAGCAATGTGCTTCACATTCCGGCTCCTGCTCCTGAATCCCGGCGAGAGGCTCCCTGAACGACACGTCTTGGAGCAGGGACCCCAGGAGGACCACTCGGTGGTCTCACAGTCTTTCGGCATGATGCAGGACTGGACAGTCAAAGGGAAGGAGTCTTTCATGCAAAGGCTAAAGGGACATAAGCAGAAACCAGTCAGCTCCCGATTAAACCGATGCAACCAGCACTATGAAGTGCCTATAATTAAAGAAAAAAATTGAAATGTGGTTTATGTGTTCACATTTGAGGATTTAAATAATGTTACAGGCACCATGATAAAAAATGGAAGGATGTGCATTTTAAAAATGCACGCTCTCTTTCATTTGAAACTGAACTTATTTCGATCTAGCAAGACACATATGTAGGTGAGTATATCTTATATTTATAATGAAGGATCATCTAAGTGTTTCACCTAGGAGATAGCCTACAGTTACCATTTATTGACTGGTCCCCAGGTGGCACACACTGCTGCACTTCACAGGCACTTCCACAACCTCATGAGCTCACATATTTTTTAATATATTTTTATTTATTTCAGAGAGGAAGGGAGAGGGAGAGATAGAAACATCAATGATGAGAATTATTGATCGGCTGCCTCCTGCACACCCCCTACTGGGAATCGAGCCTGCAACCTAGGCATGTGCCCTTGACTGGAATTGAACCTGGGACCCCTGAGACCACAGGTTAATGCTCTATCCACTGAGCCAAACCAGCTAGGGCGTTGAGCTCACATATTATCATGGCTATTTATAGATAAAAAATCCTTGGCTTAGGAAAGCGAAAACATTAGTCTAAGGTCAAACAAAGGTAAATGTAAGCTTTAGAGTATTCAGCTATCCATTCTCTTAAATACTAGGTTATATAAAACACACACACACACACACACACACACAGAACAAATATGATGTTTCGCTACACTTTAAGGCTCTGAGCAGCAATTTCCTCATCTATAAAATTTGAGTGCTATCAAATACTAGCAATCTAATTGAGAAACAGGTAAAGAAATAAAATAATGTGATGAATTCAATGTAAAAGCATTTATAATTAGTGATGAGGACAAACACTGATGAGGCAATGTTGGGCCACCTGGAAAGGCAGCGGTGGAGGTGAAGGGGGGGGTTCTAAGAGAGAACATCTGAGCTGTATTTTTAAAGATTAGTAGGAATTTCTCAGGCACAGAAAGAAGACTAAGTTAGGAAAAGTGAATATTAAAGACTTGATATAACACTTTGTGGGGATGAAAACCAGTGGTATGCCAGAGCTGGAAATACTGTTTTATAAGAACCAACTGTTACATTTTCAAGAATTTTTCAAGCCAGTTGACTTCATGTAAGTCACTTAAAATGGGTCACAGTGGGAGTATTTATACTACAAATATCAGCAAATGCTACAGATCAAGCCCCTGACACCTGAAGACTGGTACTTAAACATTTACAGGCATACTGCTGGAGGAAAGTAAAAGCCAACTTGTCAACTGTCATAAATTTTTCAAAATATGAAGCATCAAGTACAAAGAGGAAAGTAAATAGATAATAGGTATATGGGTTCTTCAAAAGTATGTCTTAAAAGGCTTCTTATCAAGAGCTAAGAAATTTGTATTTAATTGAACATTAAATAATTTTAAATGAAGGAAAACAGACTCACATAGCAAGGTAATATTTCAAATATTGATTGGCATACATTCCTTTTACTTCCTTGGGGTTAACCTTTCCTTTATTCATTCAAAGGTATCCTTTACTTTTGGGGGGATGGGGAAAGATAATTTTGATGGAAATACAAAATCAAAGAAAGGGCTTATGGTATCTTATGGCATAACTAGAGGCCTGGTGCACGAGATTCGTGCACTGGGGGCGGGGGAGGTGGGAGTCCCTCAGCCCAGCAGTTGGACATCCTTAGTGTTGCCGCAGAGGCGGGAGAGGCTCCTGCCACCTCCACTGCACTCCACTGCACTTGCCAGCCATGAGCCCGGCTTCTGGCTGAGTGGCGCTCCCACTGTGGGAGTGCACTGACCATCAAGGGGCAGCTCCTCTGTTGAGCATCTACTCCCTGGTGGTCAGTGCGTGTCATAGTGACCAGTCATTCTGCCGTTCGGTCGATTTACATACTAGCCTTTTATTATATAGGATGAGCTATAGACAGAGTTTGGTAATGTATCCAAAAAAAGGAAAGAAGTATTAAAATGATTCTAAGTTTCTGACTTGGGAAAATATGTAGATAAGGGAGCCACCAACAGAGAAATGGATTACAGAAGGTGATGTGAAGGGGGAAAATAACTCATGTGACCATTTTGATGAACAAATCATAGTGAGATTTCTATACTGATATCCTACATGAAGCCATGGGGAGTTAGTGTGTCTTTCAAAAGCCACAATAATATAAGAGCATCCTTTGGTCCAGTAGTATTTTGAAATCTATTCAGATCACATTATTTCCTTCCAAATGAAAAAGCGAATGTATACTTCATTACCACTACTCCTTCCAATGGGACCTCTGGGGGCTTGGAATAAATGCACACTGGGAAGAATCTCCCTTGAAAATACCCCATCTAATACAGAATGTACTCACTGCACAACAGGGAGAGAGGGAGAGAGGGACACTTTTCAGAAATTGCTATTGACTGAGATGCCCAATCCCCAAGTCCTAACTCAGATGTGTCTGTAGTCTGTACATGAAGATGAAGTCCTTAAAGAAGGAATTAAGTTAAAATGAGGTCACTAGAGTGGGCCCTCATCTAATATCCTTATTTGAAGACATGAGGACACAGACACACAGAGAGGGAAGGCTATAGAGAGAAGACAACCTTCTACAAACCAAGCATAGAGGCCCAGAAGAAACCAACCCTGCTGGCACCTGATTTTGGACTTTCCAGCCTCATAAGTGTGAGAAAAGTAATGCCAACTGTTGAAGAACCTACTCTGTGGTCATTTGTTCAGGCAGCACTAGCAAACTCATACAGAAACTTAAAGCTTTTTGATTTGTGTATGTTTTTAGAAAGAATTTCAATTTCCAAGGTGGACTTTCTGCTTCCTTTTATTAAGAAGGTCTCACAGTATGCAGTTCTCTGTCTACAACTGAAGTGGTGGTTTGTTTCTTCCCATTTACCAACTTTCATTCTCTGTTGCTCATCTTCCCCGAAATGGCCCATGCCATTAGACCAGTAGGATGAATAATAGGATTCCAACAGTACAAGCACTTGCATGGAGTGGCTGGGTTTATTCAAGTATTCTTGTGCTTTGGGAAAGGGCTCCTAATTATTGGAATTAGAAAGGGGATATGTTCTGTTGATTAGATATTTACTTGTTTTAGTGTTTGTTGTTTTTTTCACTAACCAGCCTCCTTAGTTAATAAAAAAAGTAATCATAAAAGGTATCATACAGGACCCTGGTCTAATTTGATCCATGAGATTTCATTTTACTAGATTATTGAATCAGAATTAAATTGTGAATCGGAAATATCTGGGTCCTGAATTTTGCATCACATTATCATGACCTTCGTTTCTTGACTTCTTGGTTTCATGACTGCAGGGAAAAACAGAATAATAAAACATGATCTGCTCACACCCCAGAGTTGTGGTGACCCTTAGTGTAAGCAGAATCACCTTATAATACACCAGGGTGGGGAACGCCCAGCCCACAGCTGTATGAGGCCCAAGAAAGCATTTGGTCTGGCCCTGCCAAGGCATTAAGGGTGATTTAATTAAATGTTTGACCAAATACAACAGGCTAATTTTTAAGTTGATAATTTAGAATGGTCTGCAAATGATGTTATAAATATCCAAATGGACCTTGGCAAGAAAAAGGTTCCCCACCCCTATAACTAAAACCCCTAACAAAGATTCTTGTCTGCAGACAGAAATGGAGATGGACCCTTTCAGAGAAGGTGGTGCACCTTTTTAATAAAACAAACATATTCTGTTGATTTATCTTTTCAAGAGATACTACAGTAATTGTACCTACTTGACATTTACAGAGTTCGTTGTCATTTATAAATTACTTTTCAAGTATTCAATTGTAAAGGAAATTGTGAAACTAAAAAATATTCTAGTAATTCTTACTTCCTCTAGAAATGTAAGGAAATCTTTTTACTTACAAAATAAGGACAGGGGCTGTTATAAGAAAGAAATCACCAGAAAAGTATCCTCAGTTCACTAACACTTCAATTACTACTTTAAAATAAAATTAAATATCTCGAACATTCAGAAGAGTAATATAATAAATAATCTCATTCTTTATTAGAAAAGGCCAACATCTACTTCAGATTTCATTAAATAAATAAATAATTACAAATTTAGGTTAAATTTCCTGTGTTCTTTGCCATCTCAATTCCATCTATTTCCCCAGACATAGCCACTGTCCTAAAATTGATTTATATTATTCTCTACCATGTTTTTATACTTATAACTAACATGTATATGTTCATAAATAGCATGTAGCACTCGTTGTTTCACATGTTTTTAAAACCTTTGCTTAAATGTTGTTTTATTAAAAAAAAATGTTGTTTTATTATACATACTAGTGGCCTGGTGCACGAAATTCATGCACATTAAAAGGATTAGAGGAGCCGTGACCAGTTTGGCTCAGTGGATAGAGCGTCAGCCTGCGGACTGAAGGGTCCTGGGTTCGATTCCGGTCAAGGGCATGTACCTTGGTGGCGGGCACATCCCCAGTAGGGGGTGTGCAGGAGGCAGCTGATCAATGTTTCTCTCTCATCGATGTTTCTGACTCTCTATCCCTCTCCCTTCCTCTCTGTAAAAAAATCAATAAAATATATTTTTTTAAAAAAAGGATTAGAGGAAATATCTTAATATTGCTATTTGCCCTTTCTCTATAATAGAAGTGTCAGAGACAAAAGAAAATTAGTAAAATGTATATGAAAATCTTCCTCTGATTTGAGGTCCCCCGTCAAGCCCTGCCAGGTGGGGGGCATGACCTTATGTCCCTTGGCCTGGCACCAGGGCAGGGGAGCAGCCTGAGGTCCCCTGTCAAGCCCCATGGGGTGGGGGGGGCACAGCTTCAGGTCCCTGTTGATTGCTCATTAAGACTCATTATGGGAACTCTGCCGCCACTGTGGGTACAGCCATCTTGTGTTAAAGAAACCACCCCCCCCCCGCCGAGGCCCGTTTGGCTCAGTG